AGTTTGAAGCGAGGTGGAACAAAATGGCCTCCGATACTACAGAAACGGTTCGCAGTCTCCACTAACACACCCACTAAAATCAGTGCACTAAAATGAAAATAAAATTGATAACGTGGCATAAATGTATCTTGGTATTACAGACTAAAGGGGTTTTTTTATTTAAAAAAAAAAAAAAAAAAAAAAAAAAAAATATATATATATATATATATATATATATATATATATATATATATATATATATATATATATATATATTCTATAATTATGCAGGCACTTACTCTGCACGAATAGCACCAGAACTATTACCTTTTTTAATGACCTGGTAGTGCCCCGAAATTAAGATGCTAGTTCGTGCGCACCAATGTATTTTGAAAAAAACCTACCAACAAACATTAAGGCTCTATACAGAGAAACAAGAAATAAACATCAATATGCCAAATAATCTCCACCAAAACACGGTAGGGCGGAGGAAACAAAAAAGGGGTACCTAGTTTTCGGAGAATCCGTTTAGTTAATGATACACAAGATCATCTGTTGACCATTACGGGACATTGTGTGAAAAAGTGATCCCCAGATTGAAGACATACTAGAATGTAGACATATTCATTGCAGCTTATACTTGACATAACCTGGCACAACATACGTATTGCAGCAATCATGGATGGTTCCTGTCCAACAGTATCCAATAGTGACTCTCAGTATTTTCATTTAGTCAAACCGAGGCTATCAGATGGCGTTGATGTTTTTTTTCTACACTATCTTTCAGCGAGTATTTTTCTGTGAGCCAGACGCCGACCTCTGCTTTTCTTCATACTAATACAATTGCTTATAATAAGAACTAAAACTTGCTTAAGTATTCGACTTTGATGGCTTTTAGAAACCCTATAAACAGGTTCCACAATCTATCTGTCAAGGACATAATGATGCTCTGATCTGTTCGCATGCACGCCACGTTAAGGCCTCTTGGAAATGTCTTCGTAATGAAGACTGCCGACACGCCTTAAAGGGAGATCGATACGTTAGGCTTTTTTCCTTATCCGCTAAGATAATGCAAAAAAAAAATGTTGTGAGATAATATTGTCACTTCAAAACTAGATCAGGTGAACTTGCTAACTCGAGCTAATGACGCAACAGCGCCGTTTTTGAGGTGAAAATCGAAATAATGAATACCTCTGATTTTACCAGTAAAGAGTAAATAATGTATTGTTTATAATGGGACATCGTAATTGGGAGCACATTTCTCCTTAGAAACATTATAAAACCAAACGCTGGCACCAGATGGTGGTTTGCACACCCTAGCCATCAACCATGCCAAATTGACGGAGTTGCTTCTGAGACCGATCACTGGCTCCCATTAGTTAACAAAGCAGCGAAATTGGAGATTAACGTTTGGCCACCCTAGAGCGGCGGGTGGTGAAAAAAGGGACATTGTGCCCGAAATGTTTATTTCTATTGCAATTATATTATGATACGTATTTCACGCAAATAAAGGAAAAGAACATTTTGTCAAATGTAGGCCTTTATCACGTACCGATACCTCTGAAGGCGTCGTATAGAGCAAAAAGTGATACACGGGTGGATTGTTATCATGTCGCGTTTGGGACGTGCCGAAATATCGAATATGCAAATATATGTCTAAGTTTATTATTGCCATGGACCCGTGACGATTTTATCTGTGATAGGTCGTTGATCGAGAAGTACTCTAAGGAAGTTGCTTACCTAATATAAGGTACATGTATATATATTAGGCAATAATCCATCTATGGCAACTGACCATAGTGGTGAGTAGCAATCCAAGGGTTTTGATTACTAGTGCATGAATCCACTCCTTGTGAACTTATCTGAGGACAATAAAAACACTTCAAACCTATGTTGACAGACAAATAGCCTTCATCAATATCTCAAAAATCATCATATTCACAGACCCCTGTCCAACCTCGGTTTTCAGCCAGCTTGACACAGTTTTAAAATAACGAGGGTTCTTGTGTCAGATCCGGCACAAGAGTCTAACGATGTCCGGAAGTCGAGTAGGCGATAAAATTGTATATCTGGAAAACCCACGCTTAATCGCAGGTTTTGATCTTTTGCTTTTTCAAGAATTGTTAAAGAGTTATGGCGAGTGTCAAAAAAGCAAGATCAAAGTGGTTGCATACATCATATACATGTACAAAATTTCAAGAGGAAATCGTCAAAATTTCCAGAAAATTCGCAATTCCAATGGTTTACAGCCTAAAAAAAGACATTATTTGAGAACTTCATCACTTCAACACAACATAACATAACTTTCCACTACATTTAAATTTCAGCTTCATCAGAACGTATTCAATTATGGGTAGAACAATACAGTAAAACATGCAACAAACCATAAAAGTGCACTTTTTCAGAAATATCTGATTTTATTGATTTTTAACGGAACCACTGACAGTTATGGTGCCAACGGGTATATGTCAGATGGCGACATCGATACCAACAGCGACGTCTACGGAAAAAAATCGACAGTTTCAGAATAAGTCTGAATATAAGTACATAAATAGCCTTTTTCTCTCATTGTAATAATGGCTTAGAGCCACTCTTAACTGACAAGATATTCTGCTATCATAGCACGCGATACGTTTTTACTTTCTAAGGCTTTCAACGGCCTGCACATTTTAATTACCATTAGATTGGACCCCGCTTGTCATGAAGACAACATGCAACCTTGCGTTACATTTTATTTCTTACTTGTTCATTTTTTTTTTTTTTTTTTTTTTTTTGCTGTGGGATTTAAACGTGGGCAGTTAATGTAGACCACAAGCGAAAGTGTCACCCTTCATTAAAAGCGCTATTAGACTACATAGGAGGTCCAACAGAGAGTAGGGGTCAACGCATGGGAACTATGCACATATCGGAAGTAAAGATAAAGTGCTAGTGACTGGTATGACTGTACCTCTTAATGAATACAAAAATATTGCGAATATAGCAGAGATGGACCTTCGACTTTTCATGAAATGTAGATGGCAAAAATACCAACATGTGAATATACTTTTCAGTTTGAAATGTTAGTGCTTTCACGTGCATGCCATTATAGGCCTAATGGGTGTAGCAGAAACTTACACTATATCTATCTTGTCTTGCTTGAATGAATGAATATTAGTTTTCATATAATATCTTGACAAAAAATTGTTTTTGAAGTTGTAAATTAAAAAAAACTTTTTGATTGGTGTTGTATTTTTTTAGATATCAGTTCCGTAAAAAGATCAAATGAATAGTGTGTGTGTGAGAGAGAGCGAGAGAGAGAGAGAGAGAGAGAGAGAAGAAGAAGAGAGAGAGAGGCGGTCAAAGTGATTAAATCATACATCAAATTATATAGACAATAAAATCTTTAACTTTTATCTTATGCACGATTTTGTTTTAGTTTGAATAAAAATCTTTAGACGAATGGCCGTCCGTAATAACTGAATCCTCACAGAATTTCAAATCAGCAGGCGAAAAAATAATGTGGCGGCCAACCGCGTTAGCCTTTTACTGTGTCCTCATCTTAAACGAAAAACTACCACGCGCTCAATGGAAACTAATATGGTTCTCATGTCAGTTCGCCCTGCGGATGATTTAAACCAACAACAACAATGGAATAAGATACCCCGTGATTGGCAATGTATGTGTCCCTAGTGACAGAGATTAGTTTTCAATCGTTACATCTGTCAATTGCTGGGAGACCATAATATAATTGAAGGCGAAATCACTGTATCTTTCCTGCAACACACGTATGCTTTTTGTAAACTGCCAATAAGAGAAAAAAAGATTAAAGTCGTACGTCAGAAGTTAGGTTAATATCAGGAAATAACAAATGACAAAATAACATTGTTTGACAAGCAATATCACGAGATGATTCGATTTGTGTCTTTTTTGTTCGGAACGTTTTATAGTTTGACAGGTTACAAAATGGCGCATTTCAAATGTCATTACTACTTTTTTACTAATATTGACTACGCGTAAAGTGCGGATCATCAAGCAAATTTATCTTCAAGACGTGATTGCCTCCTGTGGCATGTTTCACATTGATTGGTGTTCATAGCTCTGTAAAAGTACACTTACTGA